AACGATTGTGTTCAACACGACGACCATCGTGTTTGACACGATGACCAGCGTGTCGGACACGACAACGATCGTGTTCAACACGACGACCATCGTGTACGACAATCGTGTTTGACACGACGACCAGTGTGTCGGACACGACAACGATCGTGTTCAACACGACGACCATCGTGTTCGACACGACGACGACCGTGTCGACCATCGTGTTCGACACGACGATGACTGGGGTGAAAGTGTTCGAGAAAACTTGTTGACGTCACCGATAAACCAGCACTGGACACAAAGGTTTTTCTCTTTCTCTCGCGGGGGGAAGCGGCACTAACCTGGAGAGCAGGGCAGTTGTCGTGTCGACGTTGGCGGACGGCTGCGCTATTCTCCCAGAACGCGAACGAGGACACAATGTCGTGGGAGCTTATGTGCGCGAATCGCATTTCTGCTCTTCAGCTGAACGTCATCCCCGCGCCTCCGCTCCGGTCAAGGTGGGAAAACGATCGCGGCCGACTGCAGGCATTGGATCACCCTGGCCGTCCGTATTCCCGGATCGGACGGCCAGCAAGCGCGCGTGGAGGGCCCACCCGGAAAACCACTTATATGAGGAAGGTCCACCACTCCCCATCGGAAAATCCCGACTGTCATTATTCCCGGATCGGACGGCCAGCAGGTGCTCACGAAGGGCCCTCCCGAAAAACTATATATATGAGGGAGGGCCACCAGTTTCCATTTTCGTTTCAGTTCGGCAAGGCAGCAGTAGAGCAGCGCAGCGGAGGTTCGTCGACGCAGCGCAGCGGAGGCTCGTGCCACAGCGCAGCGTAGTGGAGGCTCGTGTACAGCATGGCAACGGAGCGCAGGGATTCGGTCCGTGCATAGCCGACCACCTGCTCGACGTGACGGCGGACCACAGCGTTGTCGAGAGGCGTGTTCAGCGCGACGACGTAGCGAGCATACGGCCCGAGATCGCGACACACAACCACAGCGGAGCACCCCGAGTTTGAAGGATCGGACGGTGAGGACACAACCACACAGCCCAAATTCAACCACGTAACGCCACGTGGCACTTCCGGTTGTCGAGTCGAACACGATGGTGCCCCATCGTCGAGTCGAACACGATCGCGCCCGATCGTCGAGTCCAATACGATCGTCTCCAATCGTCGTGTCGAACACGATCGTGCCCGATCGTCGAGTCGAACACGACAGTGCCCGACACGAACACGATCGTGCCCGATGTCTGATTGTCGAGTCAAACACGACAGTTGAGTCGAACACGCTCGTCGAGTCGAACACGACACTGCCCGATCGTCGAGTCGAACACGATAGTCGACCCGAAAACGATCGTCAAGTCGAACACGATATTGCCCAATCGTCGAGTCGAACACGATAGTCGAGCCGAACACGACCCTGCCCGATCGTCGAGTCGAACACGATAGTCGAGTCGAACACGACACTGCCCGATCGTCGACTAGAACACGATAGTCGAGTCGAATACGATCGTCGAGTCGAACACGATCGTCGATTGCGTTCGTCGAGTCGAACACGATAGGCGAGTCGAACACGTCGATTCGGACAACGATCGCCGAGAGGGACACGGTGGTCAAGTCGAGCACGATCGTCGAGTCGAGCACGATCGTCGAGTCGAACGTGATCGTCGAGTCGAACACGATCGTCGAGTCGAACACGTTCGTCGAGTCGAACACGATCGTCGAGTCGAACACGTTCGTCGAGTCGAACACGATCGCCGAGTCGAACACGATCGTCGAGTGCCCTGTCGAGTCG